GCTGAATTATTGCTAAAAAACACTGATTATATATTCTTACATCATATAAATTTTAGGAATTCATAAAAGCTAGGAATTTTATTTTCAGATGTTGGGTTTTAGTGGTGCCCTATTTTGAAAAATAGCTACAGGAAAACATATACAATCATGAACTAAAAAAACCTTTTATAATTGTAACGATAAAATTGAATTATCAGGAAATGTCAATAGATTTAAGTTTATTAAACATAAACATCTGAGATATAAGATGGGGCTCTTTAGGACAAACACATCCTGGCTTAACAGTGGGCAGTGCAGAGTGGAGATTTCTGAGGTTTCTCCTTATTTCTAAAGAGGCAAGTGTTATATGTGCTGCTCTTATTCTTGATCAAATGGATTGCAAAAGTACTTAAAAAGTTTTTCCTGGAATTGTCTAAAAATCACCCAAAACTTCACTAAGACAGCCACAAATTAGAACTGACAGTGAGTAAATACACCTTTAAGCAGAGAAGGCAAGGATGAAAATGTATTTATTAAGCTACATGGAAAGGACCTTTAGAGATGCTATGATTTTGCACACACTTTCAGAATGGCTAACATGAAACACAGACACCACTACTTTCCCCTCTCCCAACTGTTTAGAATCATTTAAGATGTTTACCACATTAATTACTATAATTACAAAGGTTTTCCTGATATGTCCAGGCCATAAAGCATGCTTAGTTTGTATTAGTTTCCCTCAAATTCCATAAGTAGGCTGCTGTGAATATCAGAATCTACCTTGAAATGTCAGTTTCATCAAACAATGTACACAATCACTTAACCTATCCAAAACCAGATCAAAATTATAAGCATAGAATCAAAACTATCTTTCATTAGACCTACTTGGTTTATAACTAGGATTTAAGCAGTTGTATCTTCATGCATGCTGTTTTTGAACTGTACCAAATCCCAGCAGTTTAATAAACAGTCAACTTTTCTTATTTTCTGATACTGTCCTCCACCATTTTCTCTTCAACCTCTACATTCAATCAGGGCATCTGACCCAAGCAAAGCGTGACTCTACCAGATGAAATGGGGTTGTAGTTCAATGAGAATGTAGCTACAAACACTGCACGAATACTTGGAGTTATGCCTGAGCTACCAAATTGACATTCCAAACTTCACTGGCAGCTGATTAAATAACCATTACCCACTCTACCACACGAATTGAAGTGAAAATTGTGGAATGCAGGCCAATACACATTCCAGGCTGAGCACTCGATTTTTCTTTATTTTATGAGTTTGAGTCAGTTATGCTTAAAAATAGCCAACTGAATTCCTGTTTTTCTTAAATCTAGGCAAATTAACAAAGACTCTCCTTCCTATGGCCAAGAATGTACACGCAAGAGAATTTTCTACAATAAAGTTTGCTTTTTTGACTTTATTTTTAGTGTGATGTTTAAATAGCACAGCTTCAAAGGTGCAAAGAGAAGATCCCTTGTCCCAAAAAGTAGGGGACTTTGCTGTTTTGGTGAACAAAGAAGTCTGCATATTCCTCTTTCAGAACTGGCAAAATAAAACAAAAATAATGCAAACTGCAGGATTAAAGTGGAGGAAGGAGATGCTGGGACTCTCTTTCTGAGGTCTTGGGCACCATCTTTGTTAATTCCTCTTCCTAAGTCTAGTTCTGTGATATAAGAGAGAGATGCACCCTAGATACTGGGTGCCCAAAGAAAAGGTTACTTTATGACTGCAGGTAGTTTGCTGAGAACACCTCCCCCCATCATAGCCCCTGAGATAGAAGTAGGTCTGGACGCCCTGACCCTGAATACATTTCTCATTATTCAGTACACTGTGAAAGAGGTGTGTGTGTATACACAGGCAGAATGGGGAGCTGGCTGTGCAGTGGGTGGGGCTAGGAAGAGCCTCTCTGGAATTCAACTGTATAGTAAATTGCCTCACTAACTTTAGAGGAGCTGTTAATGATCCCAAATCCCTCAGAATCTGTGAGCAACAGTCAAGTCAGTCCTGTTTCAGCTTATTTTCCTCTCCCCAATATTTTATGGGAGTTCTATATATGGAGGGCCTTGATGGGGATCAAGATTCTCATGAAATTCTTCTATAAAATCAATGCCTTAGGAGTTTATAGATAAGATTAATACCTGCTATGGTTTGGGTATGATTTGTCCCTACCAAAGCTCATGTTGAAATTTGATCCCTAATGTGACAGTGTTGGGAAGTGTTTGGGTCATGGGAGTATATCCCTCATGAATAAATTAATGTCCTCCCTGGGGTGAGTGAGTTCTCCCTCTGTTAGTTCCCCAGAGAGCTGGTTGTTAAAAAGAGCCCGGCACCTCCCCTCCTTCTCTCTTGCTTTCTCACTTGGCATGTGATTTCTATGCACACACAGGCTCCCCTTCTGCTTTAGAACCTGAGTTGAAATAGCCTGAGGCCCTCCCAAATGCAACTGCCCCAGAACAGTGAGCCAAACAAATCTTTTTTCTTTATAAATTACCCAGTCTCAAGTATTCTGTTATAGCAACACAAAACAGACTAAGATAATACCCAGGATGACCATGGTCTCTAAAAAGAGACCGAAAGATAAGTTTGGTATTTTGGGTAACCCAGACACTTTTCCTTATTCAGGTTATAAGTTATCACTGAGGTATTTGCACCAACCCTGCATATATTTATGGTGTCATTCCATCTAAGAATGCCTAGGGACTTTTTTATAATAGCATGTTAGAACATCGGGGGATCATCTGGAGGCTTCAGTTCCGTTTGCCCATATTGTGTGTGTGCAACCCTGCACAGAAACAAACACACACACAATTCATCTTTGTTCTCCTTCCTGTGACGTGTTATTTCCATTTGTCTTCTCCGATTTTGAGAAACAGTATTAATGTAAAGAGTTTTCTAACACCACCACCAGTGTTATCCCATAGAGTCTATTGTAACCTTCGCAATATATATGGGGCTATATAGAATTATTGTAACTTTTATTGGAGCTATATAGAATTATAGATAATTTAAATATCTAAAGCAGTGGTTCTGGAGAATCTTTAAAAATACAAATGCCTAGGTCAAACATTCAGTTCCAACTAGTATGGGGTAGACATACTGAAGACATCCCAGGAATTCTGATGTGCAGTTAGGGTTGAGAACTACCGATGTAGATATTTAGTTTTTGATTCCTCTTATGATAAAGAAGCTAAAATTCCAAAGCCACTTTCTTACAGCCACACAAGATAGTGAGTATGCATGATGCTTCTGTAGTGAACACTGCATACCATGTTTCTCCACAGAGACAGTATCAGCAATTTGGGCAGGACCAGGATTTGTGATGTGGATTTCAGGGAGCTTGAAGTTCTGACCCCTTCCCTCTAAATGCCAGAGAGCTTCCCAGTCATTGTGACAACCTGCAACACTTCTACACACTTTCAGATGCTTGGTCAATAGCTGAGGACTTCTGCTTGGCTGGATGTATCTGGCTCCAAAGGTAATAAACATTTTGGATAAATTTCCGCCTTCAAACATTTACTTTCAGTTTGAGATAGTGGCCTAGAGACTTATCAAGAATCTAACAGACAGACTTTGGTTTTGGTTTTTAAAGTGGTTGCTATTCCTGAGATGAAATTTTTTAAAAAGTAAACACTTGAATGATAATAATAATAATAAATTAATTAATTAATTAATTAATTAAACATAGCATTTGTCTCATTTCATTCCTTTTTGTCATGCAGTTCTAACTAGCCCTTTGAATCTCTAAGGTGAAAGCCAGAAGTACACATTGACTAGTGGATTAGTTAACCACTCCTCACTACAGAGTTGTCCTTCCCCCCCAAAAAACAAACAAAAACCCAAAACCAAAACAGACGCTATGGAGAGTAAGAGCAGTGATTTTTAAATTGAATTTTTTGATTACCATGGAGTTTTGTTTTGTTTGTTAACTAAAATTCAAAGGGAAGTGTATGTGTGTGGAGGGGGGGGGTGGGTGAAGCTATAAATAAATCGTAATCCTTTGCAAGTTAAATTACTGGAATTTAAAAAGCCATTACCAGTACCAACTTTTGTGGCAAAGCAAAGCTTTTCCACATATTATTATTATTCACTGAGGCTGAGGACACTTCACTTTACCATAGATTTTCACATCCACCAACCACCTTGTGAATATTTACAAGTGTGTGACTTCAACCAGTGCTGGGATTTCTGAGTCTTGGGTGGCACTGCTCTCCACTGGCTAAACTATCAATGACATGGACAGAATAGGGCTTTTGCATACATGAAGTCTATCCAGGCCACTTTAGGTATAAGGAGAAAGCAGGATACTCTGGTTCACCAAAGTAAGTGTATGACTTGAGAGCAACTCCTACTGGAACTATGCTTCTGGCCTTGGACTGTGATTTAATGAAATTCTAGATAATGTACTTTTTTCCTTACTTGAAATATTTCACATACCATATTTCTAGCATATTTCCTGCTCTGGAGGCAGTTCTATGTAGCAATCTATTATAGAGGAGAGGACTGTGGGCAACAAGCACAATTAGCAATATATGGTTCCAAGCATAATAAGTAAAAGCAGAAATGGCTGGTTTGGTGGGAAGCTGGTCTCCTACGGTTGGACGGGGATAATTATTTTCTCGATGAACCAGCCTAATCTACTCTCATACTTCCAAACACATCTCTGTAGACATAACACATCAGCATTGCAACACATTACTTAATTTCATCTATTCACTATATTTTTCATTTTTATTGGATGTCAAAATTACCATGTCTGATTCATCCTAGCAAAGGTACTTTATAAATCTATGTAATTTTTGGAAATGTGATGAATTGGTGAATGTCCAGCTTTTGAATTATCCTGATAGTTAACTACTGAGAAATAATTATGAGAGAATTAGCCAGTTTTTACAATCAATATGCCAATTATTTATCAAGAAGAGTACAAATCAAGATGTTAAAAAAGGAAGCAAAAATTTAAATGATTTATGCCAAAAAAAAAAAAAAAGAAGAAAAGGCCACATTTACTTCCTTACCTGAAATAGTTTAGTGCTTGGGCTTCTTATTAAATTTGGTAGTGGTAAGATGAGTTGTGCCTTTTTAAAGAAATAAGCAGTCTTCAGTGTTTTTATAGCATTGGTTACTACAGAAATTATACTTCTTTTACTTCTTGTCTTGAAGGGTGAACAAAATAAACAAACTGAAAATACTACAATGAATGGCAAATGATGAAAGATTTACAGTACAAAAAACAGTGTAAAAAGGAAGACAAGTTTAAATATTGTTGTGTAAGAAAGTGATGAAAATAATACAAGAATGAGAATAAGTAAAATGATAGGCTGGAACATCTGGGAAGGTAAATGTAAAGACAAAGAGAAAAATTAATTAATTAATAATTTTTAAAATTTAAATTCATGTCAACTAATCTAAGTATTCATTCAACTTAAGATAAAGAAGAACCCTCCGTTAAGCTATATTTACAAATCTGAAAGCCTATTAAGCACAGCGCTTTCTCTCACTTTGATTTCTATTTTTTACCCTGTGGGTATAACTAGAAAACCTCACGCTCACGGTATTAAAAAATCTGCAACTAGGAAACAAAAAACCAATTATCTGACATAATAAATAGAAAAAAAAGTAAGCTTCAACATTTCAAAATCTAACAAGTTTTATCATGAAACTTTTTTATAGCAAAGCAGAGCAACATGCAAGATAAATACGCGATAGAGTTGCAATTTTTCTAGTTGTGACCAACAGGCAGTTAATCTAATATCATGCTTCTGTATATAAACTGATTTTTAAACATAAATGTCTCGCGTGTCTAGAAGCCATGCATGCTGTTGTACTTTCGTGGGCTCTCCAATGGATACAGGACACCAGGCTTGTCCCAGGGGACAGCACTGCCTGTTTTGTTTCATAAATTATCTTTTATGTGGTTAACTCTGACAAAATGCATTGGTCTTTAAGTGGCCACCATACCTGGCCAAAGCAGCTCAGTCCAATTCATCCGGTGTGCCTCTACAAATCAGGACGGAGGAAAAAACGCTGGTTTTCCCTGTTCTGGAATCATTATCACTGTTTCTCTGAATTTGTGTTGCCTTAAAGCTACAGTGTGACACTCCTTCCCCATTCATGAGATTCTGCACTATAGAACTGACAGTGATTTTTCTCAAGAAATAATGATCATGTTACTGCGACTTAGGGCAAAGAAGAAGTTCCAGTTGTTCCTTTTGGTGGGGCTCTAGACTCAAGACCATGTTCTATCAGCAGTTGTCCATCGATCTTATGTAGCAATTTTTTTGAATCTTTTTTTTTGCGGCTGACCCTTAGGGGCATACTAACCTAACCCTTGACCTTGGTTGAAAACATGCCTCTCTAACTAACTGGGTTAAAGGGCCAGCCCTAAAACCTTAAACTCAACTTGGACCGTGGCTCTAAAACTGCAAATCACCATTTGATGATTCCTATGCAGGACCTTCTCGCAGCTCGATCTGTTAGAGTAATATTTCCAAATGTTGACCCTCTAAAACACTAACGGGTCTTAAAAATCCTTTCATCTTTATGCAAAACCTGAGGGTGGTGGTGGTAAATGTCCAGTTTAAACAAAAGAGAGGGGAACTAGTTGCTACGCGACTGGGTTACAAACACCTCGGGCTCGATGGACAGGGAGGGAACAGGGGCTTCCTAGCCCAGCGGGGCTCTGAGCTGAGACTTCCCTAACGCGGGGCGTGGACGCCGGGGCGCAGATACGCCCCGCTCGGACCGCAGCTCCGCGGGCCAGCCTCGCCATCACCGCGGCTCGCAATAGGCAGAACTGTACCTGACTCACGGATATGGGCTCCTCGGCGCCGCGGTCGTCCGCGGACTTGGGCACCTCGAGGCGGTCGATGAAGGTCTGCAGCTCCTTGCGGAAAGCCTTCATCTGCGCGTTGATGCGGTAGAGCAGCTCGTGCTCCCGGATGCGGCTGCCGTCGTCCTCCTCGTCCATGAGCGCGAACAGGTCCCCGTTGGCCACGTAGATGCGCGCCTCGGTGATGATGGTGCTCGTGTCGGCGATCAGCCGGTCGATGGTCTTGCCCAGGCGCTCGGCCTCCGAGCGGATGTCCTTCATCTGCTGCCGGTCGGAGAAGCTCTTGGGCCAGGGCCCGGGCGCCGGGTAGAAGGAGCGGGTGGGCGTGAGGCAGCGGATGTTGCGCACCTCCTCCGAGTCGCTCTCGCCGCCGATGGGCCCTTCGCGCTTGCGGTGCGGCGGCCGCGAGTCGTCGTCGCTCTCCTTCTTGCCCGCGTCGCTCTCGGCGTCGCTGTCGCGGGGGCTGCCGCGGATGCCCAGGTGCGAGGCCAGGTCGTAGCGCTGCATGTTGGACATGAGCACGCGGTTCTCGTACTGCAGCTGCATGACCTTGCCGCTGAGCTCGTTGATCTGCAGGCGCGCGGCCTTCAGCTCCTCCTGCAGGGCCTCGGTCTTGGCGCTGTCGTGGTGCCGCGCGCTGTCGTGGCTGCCCGATTTGTACTTGTACTTGTTGAGCTCGGCCGTGATGCGCTTGTTCTGCTCCTCCAGGTCGGCCACGTTCCTCCGCAGCAGCTCGGTCTCGTCCTCCACCAGCTGCAGGTGCTGCCGCAGCTCCGACAGGGACTCGCTCTGCTCCCTCATGAGGGGGTTGGCCGAGCCATTGAAGTCATCGCCCCTCAGGTCGTCCAGTTCCGCCTTCAGGCCTCGGTTCTCCACCTCTAATTCGACGATTTTCCTGCCCAGGATGTTGGCTTCTTCCTCCACCAGCCTCAGCCGTAGCTTGAGCTCGGCCTCCCTGGTGCTGGGAGGCCCCCCGGCTTCTCCTTTGGGCAAAGGACTGTCCAGATCCCCATAAAAGGATCGGTATTTCTGGAGCTCATGTTCGAATCTGTCCTTTTCTTTATCAATCTTAGCCATTTTCTTTCTCATCAAAGCGGCCTCTTCCTTAACGAACTGCAGCTGGCATTTCAGATCTTCATTGTCCTCCTCATTTGGGGAAAAGAAGGAAAAGGAAGAGATCGTTTTTATGTAAATCAAGAAAACAACCAAAAAAGGACACCTGCAAAAATAATCTCTTTGTCTCATAATCACGATTTAATGACCCAGAGAAGTAGGTGTTGTGTATTCTTTGGCAAGTCATGTGCATTCTTTGGCAAATTAAAGATTAAGGCAATATTACATGCTGGAAATAAAAAACTTTCAGGAAAGGAATATGAAAAGAGAAAAATTGTGATCATCATTATGCAGAGATTATTACATGTTGTAACTGCACACAACTGTTTAGCGGTCATTTCAACAATATTCCTTTTGTTTGTTTTGGTTTTTTACATGTTTTGAATTTCCCTAACTGTAATAAATATCAAACCTATTCACTGCAAGGAACACATGATTAACATGCACTCACTGTTATTTATTGAGCACTTACTCTGAGCTGGATGCTATAAAGTTCTTTACACATATGGCCTAATTTAATAGTCAGAGTAAACATGAATAGATATTAAAGTTCCTGGTTTAAAGATGTTCAGTGACTTGTTCAAGGTTAACACAGCTAATACGTGGAAAGGACAAAGATGAAATTTGAATTCAGTTCTGCCTGAAACTAAGACTCAGGCTTATTATAATCACTATGCTGTCTCCAGAAAATAATCTGCCATCTGACTTTATTCAAAGGAAAATCATTTTAAAGGCCTTTACGTAGGGAAAGTTTGTCACTGGAATGGCCCGTCCAAGGAGAAGCTGGTAGACATTCCATCTGGATTACTTTTAAAATAGGATGTACTCCCATCAGTCTGAAATGGATAGAGTTGGTTCTGCCTGGTGAAAGGATAACGGAGTAGAATCTGTGGAAGTTCCTCTCACACATTCTTATGACAACCTACCAAGCCAAATTAACTAAACTGAAAAGTGCAAAGGAGAAATGGAAATCCACCCTTTCTCTGAGAGCTTAATAATTATGTTCAAGGACATATTTCCCAAGGACAATCTCCCCAAATTCTCTTTTAAGCATGCACTTTGGGCCAATCATATAACTTCTGTGGACTATGGTTACCTCATTTTAAAAACGGAAATAAAAATGCCTTCCGTATCCAGCACTCAGAGTCACCTGTGTTAAAGATATGTATATATATATTTTTTTTCCTTTTTGTCTTTTTTCGTGATGGGCAACGGATCGCAACCCTCAGTGTCACGCCCGTACCGGACCGGGACCGGCCACGGGATCGCAACCCTCGGTGTTGCTCCCGCACCTCGCTCAGCCAGTGAGCGGCCGGTCTGCATGTGGGATCTGAACCCTCGGCAGGAGCGCCGCCGCACTTCCCAAGCGGCGCACTGTAGCAGTGCGCCACCGGGCCAGCCCTAAAGATATATTTTGGTAAAGCAGCAGCAACCACTGGCAGGAAAGGTGAGGAGAGTAATGAGCCTCTCAGAGATGCTCAATAAATATGGCCCAGCGCCTTTGAGATGGAAGAGATGGAGAACAGGGCACAGATCGCTCCGCATCTACAAATGGGAATAGGAAGAGTTGAGAGCTGCTGGGTGTGCAGAGCCTGAACATCACGTTCCTTATACCAACTCCTCACATCAACTCTTCAAGATAGGTAATACTATCTCCCCTTTACAGATGAGAGGTTTATGAACATAGCAGAGCACACGTTACCGAGTGACAGTGCACAATCTGAATTCAGGCTGATTCCAGAACTCACATTCCTACCACTGCCCATGTGGCCTCTAGAAAAGAAGCACAAAAGAAGAAAAAGAGGGCAATGGGGTAAAATGAAAGAGATCAAATGTGTTGGCTTGTACACTTTCCTCTAGAAGAGGTTTAGAAGAGAAAAGAGAAGCACAGCAAGAAGAGAAGAGAGAACTGCAGCAGCATGCAGAGAGGAGGGGAAGCAGTATGTCACAGAAAGCTCTAATGTGAGAATCCATTTCACAAGGGAAGAGAGAAGCTGCCCTGCAGGAGACTATGTGTTGAGACCCTCACACTAATTCAGTGAGGATGAGACCAAGGACAACCAAGACCTGTTTAAAATCATATCAGCAGAGGAATCAAAGGTAACCCTGAAGTTTTGAGCTTAGGTGTCTGGCTGGATTGTACTGCCAATAATGGGGATAGAAAATGAATAAAGAGGGGCAGGTTTTATATAAAGAAGATGGCTTTAAGTTTTTGAGATGCTGTCTTTGAGGTGTAGCAGTGGAGGGATACTGAGTGGAAACATCTGTCAAGAGGCATGTGGAATATCTGGTCCATGATTAACCTTAAGACCTGGAGAGAGCTCAGGACTGGAGGTGGGGACATGTAAATGAGATGCAGAGAGGTGACACTGAAGCTACTGCAGTGGTTACAGAGGCAACTAAAGGGGAGAAGAAAAGAAAGGGAGACAGATGAGAAATGGTCACATGTTTGTAACAGGCAGTCTAAGGTCATGTAGGCCAATAATTAGAAACAATGTTTGAATAGAAAGGGAACCACCAATATCAAATATACTTTTACATAGGCTTTATTGGAGTAAGAGTAGATGAGACAGGGGGCTAGGTAGGGCTACATGTATGGTGGAAGTGCTTGATTGCACGTTTATTTGCTAGTACCAAAAAATGTTGGCATATGCTGCAGTTTAAATCTAACCAAAACAGCAGTGGGTGTGATACAAGCCACAGACTGGAGCAGAATAACACTTCACTGGGCTATGTTAAGAAAATAAAAAAGAGAAGAATATCTGGTTTGTGCGTGTGTAAGCTGTCCTGCCCAAAGGAACAAAAACAGAAAAATTATTTTAAGATTTGGACATAGATTGCATGTAACAAACTTATTATGAGGTAAGGAGCTGTATCAAGAGGATGATGGGCATGATGATTTTATTTATTTAAAAATAAATCTTTTCAAGACACGAAGTGTGCTAGTTGCTGCAATGCCAAGCTTTTAAGAACCCTGCATGCCAATATGCCTGCATCCTCATCTAGTAACCCAACTACTGTAGGCTGCATTTAGAACTGGGCGTGGAAATACTATATATAATTGCTGAAAAAAATAAGAGATTTATGGAAAGTGCCCAGTTTAGAGAAACTGAGCAGTAAATGTTTGCCTCTATTTTCCACAGTGAATGGTAGGCAAGAAAAATTGAAACGTTCTGAGGTGTGAAGCAAGTTGCTCCTTATTTTTGTGCATGTTAAAGACTCCCTTGTAGGAAGATACAAATGACATATGAGGAAGGGCCAGTAAGAAGTGAACTGAGCCTGGCTTTGGCATAAAGAGCCACAACTAGAAGCTAAATTGCACTCTAATCAATAACATATATTAACTCATTTAATCTATACAACAACTCTCTATTATGATCCCCATTTTACTGATGAAGAAATAGAGGCCAGATAGAATGAGTAATGTCTAAGATCATAGAGCTGGTATGTGCCAGAGATTTCAACCTAGGAAACCTGGCCCTAGAGCCACTGTTCTTGATTGCTACGCAATACTATTTCTCAGTACATAAAGTAACTGTGATGCTGGAGGAACATGTGAATAATAGATCAAAGAAGCTGAAGCACATGAACAAAATAAAATGCAAAGCTACACAAATAACAGTAGGTTGGATCATATGAAATTGCCATATCTGTAGGTCAGTGTCAATAGCATGTTGGCAATTTCATGTGGTTCACTCCAGAAAAGGGGTACATGGGAGTATTCAATAGCGTGTAGTGAACACACACAGAAGGCCAAACAATAGATGCAGACAATTCAAAGCCGAATAAGATGGCCCCTGTCCACAAAATGCCCTGGCTAAGTAGAAGAGATAAATACGTAAACAAGAATGACAATAGAATGGGATGCTTACAGTAATAGAAGTATGTGGATCTTGACTGAGCAACGGAACCATTTTATAATTTTATAAAATTTTATAAGAACAGACCACTTTATAATTGAGATCTCCTATTGGAGACAGTCCCAATGAATCTCCTAGGGTGGATTTATGAAAAGTGACAGGTCATAACCTCTGAAAATAAATGTGTTGGAAATGACAGCAGGGACTTCAAACGACACAACACTTTACTTATAAATTTCCCAGGAAGTTTGTGCCCATGAAGTAAAAACTGGTGGATAGCAGGGCATTGTGACTTTTGTAAGGTCCCCGGTCCCACTGAGAAACTGAGAAAAGCTGTGGATGGCTTCTACAGAAAGGTGCCTACATGCACATGGGATTGGAGTCCATAGAACCAGGAACAGTTTAGAAAGAATTCTTGCATTAGAGAATATTGTTGAAAAGAATAAATAAAGTTTAATATAGGAAGTAAGAATAGGACAAACACGGATTTTTAAAAAAATACACTGCTGATTGAAGCTGTCTTAAGATTTTAGAACAGAGAGCAAATATCATCTCTCTAAACAAGGTGGGGAAAAGGATTCATGGCAACACATAAAATGATCCACAACAAGATATTTAGAGTTAGGTGGCTAAATTTACAGCACAGACACAGTGGCAAAGCTGTAGTGACAGAGCATATTTGTACTTATTAAGGGAATGGGAAGAAAGGTACAAAAAATGTATTATGCTCTTGATATGAGAATCTCTGGTATTGTAGAAATGCTGAGGCTGTAAATGTTTTTGTGCAACTACCAGGAGAAAAATTAATCAAGAACAGAACGAGGAAAGAGAGGAAAAGAGAAAATAATATACACTTAATATGTTATGCTTTAAGAAAATAATTGAGGCCAACTTTTTCAAATTTTGAATATTTAAATATTGCTTTACAGTTATCTATTGAGAAAGCACTTTGTAATTTTTAAAAATTATATATATACTATAGTAGCATAGATCCCAACTTATATGTTTAGAAGTCAATATCTTGCCAAGTGTTTTGGGAGAGCCATACTGTCATTTCTGTACCCCAAATTTCCCCTTCTGTTTTAAAATCTCTTCGTTAAAATAATCGGCACCTTCCACTCACCCTGGAGCAGAGTTAGTCTTTACTGTGTCTGTTCTTAACAAGCCCATGTTGAGTACATCTTTTAAGTTTTATTTTTATTCCTTTGTTTCCTTTCCTTTGCTTCCCCAATCACTGATATAGAGAATTACTTCATTCTAAGGCTCTCTAAAGACATCATGATGCTTTCTCTTCATTCCGCCACCCCTTCCTATAACATTCTTTTCTTTATTCTCCCCGATACTATAGGAACAGCCATTCTATTGACCTTATTAATTATGAAAGAACAAGATTAGCATCATGGGTACAGTTCTCAAATATAGCAGCACATAAAGTACTAGTGACATTTTGCTGTGTGCCTACAATGTAAAAGCAATTATAATAGGGATGTTAGTGCTGGCTTTATAAGCAAATACACTGCATACCTTGTACTACCTGTATCTACAGCTACATAATTGATATGCATAATTTGACTTTGTTTCACAGCAGTCTATGTGGCCATTATGTCTATTTATGAACGTAGCTTATTATTTTATACATTTAGAGGTGCTTGATGTAGTAGTTGAAATTTTATTTCCACATACCTCTGTGGGAGTCTGTTGAGCCTTTTTTTCAGATTTCGGCAAATCTTTGCTTCCTCTTCTTTTTAAGGATAACTGAAATAAAGCATGAATATATTTAGTTTGGTGAACTATAATTTAAATTTGATTTTATGTTTTTAAGCGCCTTAATCATATATGATAAAACCAAGGCAAATAAAAAGAGTTAGCTCAATACTCATAAAGAAAAAAAACCCAAACCAGATAGATTTAGATATATTTTTACTTTGGATTGGGAGTCACACTACAGTAGAATGTAGCCGGCAATTATCTAATTAGAGAAATACAGGAAACCTACTGTCAAAATGCAGGAAAAAACTCAGACAAAATTTACACTGATGACTCAATATGATATATAGTTCAAATGAAAGCAAATGCTTGTTAGCATTCCACATCACTAAAAAAAAAAATGGAATAAGTTACTATTTTCCCTGTTGATGTTAGGTTGCTATGAGCTTGTAAAGTCAAACTTTCAGTGTATTTGTGTAGATTTGAAGAATTTCATTCTTCTCTCACCACACATCCATGCAAACAAACACCCCCACACACACACACGACCCCCCCCCCACTCTCTCACCCATGTAATACAACAGGGACTGGTAGGGGCTGCAGTGAAATGAAGAGGGACGCTCCATCTCAAGGGGCAGGTGGACTGGGAGCAGCTTCAGCTCATTGGTGCAATACAGGAATGTTGGCTTTTTCAAGAGAAGCTGGAAATCTATACTGTTATGTAAAATCTCTCATTTTTTATTCGTTAGTCCTAATTAAAATGCAACCACATAACACTTTGTAAGTCAAAGAGTACATGACTAGTACCAAATTGTTTCATGGACCAGCAGTATATGATCCCTGGTGCTCAGTTCCAATTTTTACACCAGTATAAGAAGGTTCTCTGTGTGTCAGTAATAATTATCCATATGTACAATATCTGTCATATACCAGACATTGAGCTGGGGACCCAGAGTTCAATTAGATACTGCACCTACCATCAGGAGGCTCAAATTTAGCATGGGAGACAGGGAAGCAAACAACTATAGTACAAGTTGGTGAAGGCCATGCTTTTGGTTCTATGAAGCAGAGATTTTGTCTTAGTGTAGTGTCATCACCATGAGAATAATGCTTGCCATGTGGCAGACAGTGAAAAATTTGCCCCATCAATGAATGAATATAAAAGATGAGGTTCTAGGTCAAAAATGATGGGAGTATAAACTGATAGTAAAAGTAGAAAAAGCCTCTCAAAAGAGGAAGCTTCATGGATTTGCAAGAACTGAAAATTAAATTCTTCTCATGTTAATTTTTAACCCATATCCAGTGTTAAATGAAGGCATATGTTCAGGCACAGAAGGCAGGGAATACATTGCTGCAACTGTTTTCATTCAGGATGAAATTGAACCTACTGAGACAAATGCGTAGTCCACGTGGTTATTCATTTCTAGTTCTTTACAGAAAGAAGTTCTTTTATGTCGCTTGTATAATCTTTGTAGAGAAGAAAGCTGTGGGGACTGACTCACCATAACCAAAAATGATTAGGGACTGATCAGCAAAAACAGTCCCAAGAATACCATGAGCTGAATTAGGGAAACTGGAACTTTTTAGATAGGGGCCACCTATAAGAAGCACTAAACTCATTTTATTAAACATCTATTAAATGCTTTTATTTTTAATTCATTCCATTATATGTTTACTTAGTGCCTACTAATGTACTTCGTAAGGTACCTGTGACACAACAATAATAAAACCACCATGGTCTATGTTCTTTATGGGGTTCCCAGTTTACCTGGCATGGTCTGCTCAGTCTGTACCTCAATACAGTGTGATGACAGCAATGAAATTTAGACACAATATTAACTGACATCGACTAAGCACTAATTCATGTCAGACACTTTACAGATATTATCTCAACCAATTTTTAAAACACCTCTTTTGGTCTCACTTTGCAGACACTGAAATTAAAGCTTAAGAGAGGCAGATAAATAGAGGTAGATAAGTAAATTATCTAAAGCATGGCCATGTCTGGCCATGTCATTCTTCTGACATTTTTAAAAGTGTCATCCTCAGAACAGTATCATCAGTGTCACCTGGAAAGTTGTTAGAAATGCAAATTCTCAATACCCATTCCAGATCCACTGAATCAGAAGCTACGATTCCAGATCTGAAGATGGGGCCAAGCAATCGATGATTTAATAAGCTCTCTAGGTGATTCTGATACACACTAAATTTTGCACTCTAAAGTTACTACTTGGTAAGTGGCAGATTCAGACCTTGACCCAAGTCTTTTTGATGCTAGCTATTATCTATTAGATCACAGAAGAGAAAGGCTTAATCCAGTCTGGAGGTGGATATGGTGTGGGTAGCTAGGGATGATTTCTAGAACGAAGCAATGTCTTATTTCAAACCTGGTGGATGAGGAGTCAGCCAGTGGAAGATGGAGAGGAGGGAAGGGGAAGAACAAAGCATTCCATGTAGAAAAACCTTTTCTGGGACACACAGAAATTCAGTAATGAGTGTAACAAGTCTGAAAAGAGGAGTGACATGAGATTTGCTGGTGGCATAAGTCAGATGTTGAAGGTCATTGAATAAAGTTTGGATTTTATCTCATTCAGATCAAATTGTTGTTCTAAGCTCAGTTGGGAGGACTGAAGGGTTTTAAGCAAGGAGAATCATAATTAGAATGTCATAGAAGACATACAAAGATACAGAGGTGGCGGTCCAAATGGCCATTAGATAAAGAAATGACAATGCAAGGGTTACGAGGGAAAGTATAGTATATTTTCGTTCTGAAAATGTTTTTTGGTCTCTGTGTTTCATTCATTCTACAGATATCCGTTGAGTTTTTTTTTGTTTTTTTTTTTTTTTTTTTTTTTTTTTTTTGTGTGTGTGTGTGTGTGTGTGTGTGTGTGTGGTATTGTATGGTAAACAAATATGACTAGGAAATATTTTACTCTCTACCCAAAGAGCTAACTGTTTATAATGATAAAAAGGATGCAATTAACTAAAACAGCAGGCAGAATTAACTAAAGGCAATAAATTAAGAACAGAGAAAGGACTGAGAAAGCAAAGGAAGAAGCTATGATTCCAGACCTGGGGAATAAGAGAAAATCACCCAAGAGGGCTGATGTTTGAAGGATGTGCAAAATTTCTATAGAAATAAAACTGAGCAAACAGCAGTAGGAAAGATATAGAGGAATGAGAGTGCCTTATAGATGCACTGACTTCTGAAAAGAAGTAATGGAGGTAGGATCACTGTAGAGATGGGGTAGGAGACACTGAAGAGACTGAGGACAGCTTGTGGAGCTGAGAAATTTAGACTTTATCCTGTGTGCAATGTTACTATTAGAACTATAAATTAATATAGGAGAAATGCTGAAACTAGGGCATTCTTTCCTAAGAGGCATTTTCCACTTTACTATTATTTAAATATCAATCAAGTGGGAGTGTTAAACTCAAATAAAACTCTGATAAAAAGGTTTCCCCTTGAATAAAGTTGCATTGCCTTTAAGGTGCCTCTAGGACTACTAGTAACTTTAAGAATCACATTTAAATTTTCAATAACTATTTATTCATCTTTTCATATTCCAGCAAGTTTTTAACAACTTTCTAACTCCTGTAAAATAAAGATGAGAAATTCATATGGGTAGAGAAAGTTAGAGAAATAATGTATGACCAAAGAAAACTTACATTTCTTTGGGTTATCATTAGGGTTAGGGTCACAGTCCCTTTCCTGTGAGGATAAAACTGTGTCACCTGACACCTTGTCGTCCTCCCCCATCTTCATCCACTAAATCTAGTAACCTCGGCAAGAGCAGGAGTTTGAGAGACTAGAATAAAATCTCAGATTTTCATATTAATTGTCAAAGCAGGCACTTCAGATGGTTCTCTAGATAAATATGTTGAAAACATTTGTTGTCTGCTTCTTAATTCTTTGCATTCCCAGCCTCAGCTTATCTGAAAGAAGCTGCTGTTCTCTTTATCTATGTGAAGGCAAGGAATTAGAGAGTTTTGCCAATAATTGTGTTTGCACAGCAATTATATAAAATGGATTGTTTGTATTCTAAAACTGTTTTCAGATTGCTTTTCTTTCTCAATTGAAATTTGGTCCACTTCTTAGTATGTACCGTCTTTATGTTTTCAGCAATTAAACAGAGAAGAACCTGCCTAAAATGCTACCGAAAGACACATTACATATATGAAAGTCTCCTATGTTGCTGATAAAATTAAAGAGAGATCCATTCGTGTGGTGATTAAATCAAGAAGAAAATTATCAATACATTAATATCTAGGATTTATTTGGCACTAAATATGTGTCATGCACTTTTCTAAGCACTTTATAAGTATCCACTCGTTCAATCTGACAACAGCCTTATGAGTTTGACACCATTATCTGAAGGACACAAAAGATAAAGCACTCAGCTAGTAAGTGTTAGAACTAGGACACAAGTTACCCGGTTTCACTCTGAACAACTACATTAGAGTTCTCATTCTGAACAACTACATTATAATGTTACTCCAAAGGAAGAAAAATGCACTTTAGAAAACAGGGTTACAATGTTTATTGGCATATCTTTCTCTCGGCTATCAGAGCATGTCTGTACGAGTTTGGGGTCCTGGTTCACACATATTACACATGTGCAATTTTTTCAACAGAGGAGCCAGCAGAAGTGACATACATGCTTAATAGGTCTCACAGTCAATAGGTAAATGCTTAAACTGCAGGGCAATGTTGGGAGGGAGGCCTAGGGATTACCCCTGACAGCTGGAGAGAAACTGAAAGAGGCGGAAGCATTGTTTCGAATCCATCTTAGAAGAGAACAGGAGAGGCTCTTGTCCCAAGGAGTCTTCCTCCTTCCCTTCTATTACATCCTTGACATTTACGCAGAGACCGTGGCAGAGGCAGGACAGGTGAGATGCCCAGAGATCCTTCTCAGGACCACATTCTCCACTCTTTCCCCTAAGAGGATAAGGCAGGATCTCAAGCTTATATTATGGCATGATCTTGAGGGGCATAAGGGAATATAGGTAAAGGAGAGGCAGATGCTAGGGTGATCTGGCCATGTCAT